TGTAAGCGCGGGCAGCGGCGGGCGCGCGCGGCGCCACGTGCGGCGCGCACCATGGAGCTGGAGGAGCTGGGCATCCGCGAGGAGTGCGGCGTGTTCGGCTGCATCGCGGCCGGCGTGTGGCCCACCGAGCTCGACGTGCCGCATGTCATCACGCTGGGGCTCGTGGGGCTGCAGCACAGGTACGGGCCGCGGCTCCTCCACGCGGGATCGGGCGCGGGATCGGGCGCCCCGCAAGGCGCGGGCGGCGGCGGAGCCCGCCCGGCAGCTGTGCCCATAGCGGGGCAACGCAGCCCCAGTCCGCGGGGATCCCCCCCGAGGGACGGGCGCGGATCCCCGCGACCTGTGGGTCTCCTCTCCTTTGGTATTCCAAAGCTAAATTGCACTAGTATCTATTTTTTTCCTCCACAATGGTAGCAAAGTACTTTTTTTTTTTTTTTCCATTTTTTCCCTTTTTTTTTTCCCTTGGTGGGTGTGTGTGGTTTTTTGGGGGGGAGGTGAGGGAGCACGTGTAGTCACACACATTCGTGCTAGTCTAGGCTTGGCTTTGGCAGTCCCAGCGCTGTAGGSATTCTCCGCTTCCCGTTTGGTAAAATGGGGCTAAATCGCACTCAGCGCAGTTCGGGGAGGTGGGGCTTCTCTAACATAGGCACCAAATAAAATAAAGTTACACTTTTGCATTCTTGAGGCCACAGACATGCAASAGTAGCCCCAAATTGGTTGGGGACCAATATCCTAGTATTTTCTTCGGGCTGCAGGTGTATCATTCACGTATTACGTATGTTTAACAGTGTCTGTCAAAAGCAATGCCTGTTAGAAATGCTAAAGCCGCAGATCCCAAGGAAGGAAGCTGTTAATCCACCGTCTCCTCTCTGGCTGAGCCACGTTTCGGGAAACAGGCTGGTAAAAAGTGATAACTTATCAGGCTTGCTTAGTTTCCCTGGAGGATTTGGAGTTTCAGGATTGGAAGCTAAATGATAGTGTATTTTAATCACACACTCTTTCTATCACTCAGTTTACTATCTCTGTTTCCATTCTAGAGATATTTCATCATTTTTCATGACAACAGTTTCTTTCTGAGGGGCATATGATGCACATTTGACTCCCATTTTTTTTTTAACATTAATTATCATCTGTGGAGCCTTGTTGGACATCACCATAGGCAGTAAAATTGACTGAAACTTTCAGGGGCCACTTTCTTASGGGCAAATCTTATTGTGTCTTTGCAGTGAAACCTACAATAGTCTGTTCAATTAAGCATACATTTCTTTACTCAATAAAATTCTGTTAAATAATTGTTAGTGCTCCTGATTTCTTCTTTAATGTTTCTAACATCTTTATATTTCAACATTGATATTAACTATCAGTAAACTTCCTTAAGTCCATCCTTTTGAATGCGAAAGCTAAGAAATGTCTCTTAACCACGTTCCCTTAAAAATAAGTAACCAGAAGTATAGTAAATCTTAATGGACAACCCCAATAAAGCCTTAAAAAAAATCTGATTAGCCATTAGAAAATAAAGCTCAGAGAGCTGCCGTTGAAATTGCTCATCCCATGGGCATGTTTGGTTGATGACTACTGGCCTTTAATACTATGCTCATGATTCTTCTAATTAGTCCTGGGCAATAAAACAGATGACAGTCTGGCCCCTAATTCAGCTTAGGTTTAAAAACTTGCAGTACATGAGCACAGAGAAGTGCATCAAAATGCCTTGTTAGCTGATTGACCCACGAGGAGGAGAYGCTATTGGGAACATGTTGGCATTCCTTCTCTTTGAASTCCTGTCTACACATAGAGMATATTGGTTATGGGCCAAAAGCACAAGTGCCATCAATTATTTGTGCCTTATGTTCTGATCCACCTGTTTGCAGCACTATGGGAAATTTGGCTATTTATGATAAATGGCCTAAAAGGAGCTGAATTATAGTGTTAAAAGTGTTTAGGCATTCTGGAAAGCTTTACTTCTACTTYACTAAAATGTACACAAGCGAAAGCTAAAAATCAAGGACACTGGATTGGTCTAGCAAAATACTTMAGTGTGTCCTCAACTGCATGAATTTGAGTGGTGCTCTTTGTTTTGGTGAGACTGTTTTGCTTGAATTTGCTTATATTTGTAATCAGGGTTCTAGAATGGGCCCCAAAACAGACACAACTCGAAAGATTGAATTTCACTATATTGACATATGTAAAAACTTTTGTTTGTTTGTTTTTGTTAATTCAAAGTAGCTGCTAGGTTGYTGTGGTCTAAATTTTAAGTCCTTTGCAGTAAAAGGCAGAATGTGGCTTTTCTGTTGGCTCTTACTTTGTGAATTAAACTGGAAACCAGATGTATTTCTAATCATAGATTTATCAAGGTCTCCTATACAGCAAGGACATTGAACCAATTTAACTTGATTCAATTTTTTAGGTTTGTCAATCTAAAATRCTGATCTCGTCTGGTTGTAGCACATTTTATAGCTATGTTATCAGTGAATTCTCATTATGTTTGAAACTTGAAAGCTGTTAAATTAAAACTGTTGCTCTGATTTTAATGTTAACAAGGTTTCAGAGTGGATCTCTTAAATCATCTTTACCATTTGTGAAGCAGGGAACAGGGCTGCCCATGGGGCCACTCTGTCAGCATGCCAAAGGAAAGCCAAAGGATCTTGGTAAGGAGAGGACTTTTCTTGGGGGTGTTGAGGGAGGGAGGAGGAGTACTTTGAGTTACAAGTCTATTAAAYGTCATTTGAGTCCTTGACCAGGACAAATTTGCAAAGTTAATCTTGCAACAACTGTGACTTCTGTCAACTTTTCGCAAAATTCTCTGGAAAATATTTTTGGCAGTAATGCTGGGCACTGAAACCTGAGTGCATCCAGCTTTGTACTGATTTTTAAAAAGGCTTTGAAAGGTGATTTCTGTGCAGGTGCAAGTCCTACTAAAATCAAGGACTTAAACTTTTCCTCATCCCAACTCGGATGAGCTCTTTGTATGGAATTTGTTATGAAAATGAGAATAAATGGAGAATGGAGGATAGGCTAGCTTGCCTTTTCATGCCTTCCACATTAACTGACTGTTAAACTCGCCTAGAACAGGCAAACTAACTCTTCCATGTAAGTGAAGAAATACTCCAGTCTAGTAAGTTACTAGTTGCTTTCCATTAGCACTTTCCATATATCTACACTCAGTATAGCATAATGTGCCACATGCTGCCTGCTTGAGCGGGAAGGTTGGACTAGATGATCTCTAGAGGTCCCTTGCAACCTTGAATATTCTGTGATTCTGGGATAATGGATATAGATATGTACATTTTTATACCGTCTGTCTGCTGTAAGCTAGGTCTCTTTAAAGATTATTTAGTAAGCTGTAGCAATTCAGCAAGCAAATTGGATCAATAGTGTTTAGATAGGAATTTTCTGAGGAACATGCAGGTGGCTACAGGTAGTGATACTGATGATTTATCACACAACATTTTTAGCCCTTAATTTAATCTGAAGGGCTCGATATAGGTTTAACAGATCCCTTGATAGATGCAAGAGCGACTATGTTTGTTGTCTAGCAAAAAATACCATTTTTTTGTAGCTAGACATATTTTTATATAAACTACCTATGGAATTTACTGGATGTTTGACATGCTGGTTATCCAGGCTGGATATCATGCTGTATGTGCTGGTAAGACAGCCCTGAATGCTTTCAGAGACACTGATTTGGAATATACTAACCCATAATCTTTTTGTTATGTATTGATTATTGGTCATTTTATGCTGCTCAGTTTTGGCAGCTGTGTTAATTCTACGCTACAAAACTTAATCCTGCAGGAGCAGAGGAAGAGAGGGGAGGAGTGAGACTTGGCTGCAGTGAGCAGTTATATCAGCTCAACCTTAGGTATTTTCCTCATGGGTTACATTTCCTGTATGGTGACTTCCAGAAGGTGAAAATGAGCAGGATTTACATTCTGACCAAGTTTAAACCCATGAAATCTAATGTATATGTTATGGATGGGGGTGAGACTTCATTTTTATTTCTTCTTCATCTCAGTGAATGAAGAGCATAGCTTGGCTCTCCCATCTTATTGCAGAGAAAGTGGATGTGTCTGGGGCAAATCTAAGGTATGAAGAGATGGCACAAGGTGGTAAGAGTCAGTGGAGCTATTCTAGCATAGAGCTAGCAGAGATGTACTTGCATTGGAAATGGGCATGAGCGTGTTTTTTTTTCCTGAAATTCCCCATTTCCTCACATTCAGAGAGCTAACTGTATGAAAGTTTTTCAAATAGCTGCCTAGTTAAGGCATCCACATAGGTGTGACACAGTGCTCCAGTAATTTTCTCAAAATTTTGTTTCTTGGGGGCTTGTCTGCTCAAATTTTGACCTGTTGAATGGAAAGAGGATTGTGGAGATTTATGCAAGGTAGCTAAGCTGAAAGAATCTGGATTGGCTGCTCCTTCTGCTTTGTCCTTTTCCCTTTCCTATGAATTAAAAAAAGGCAGAATTGTTTAGAGGGGTGTTTTAGTAAGTTTGTTTCAACTTATACAGGTTCTGTCTCTTGGCTAACCAACCACTTGGTCACTGGAGTGCCTGTGCCCACACCAGGAGACCCTATAGCAGGAGAAGGAGCAAAGGGGGAAAGTAGGGAGTGACTGTTTTGAGCCAACAGTGATGCTGATAGTGGCCCAAATGTCCTTGGGCTACCAGAACCAAATGGGACATTTAGAAGATTTCCCAGGGTAACAGCCCTATCTAGAGAGTTGTAAACTGGCCCATTCATCTCCATGAATGAATGTGCTTTAGCAGTGAATGGAACTTGTGGTACAGCTCAGAGTGTGATGGCTCCATTGACCTGCCCCACCTCAATATTTCCAGTATCCCATTTGTAAACTGGAGAGGAGACAAAGGAGTTTGGCACCACATTAACCTGAAAGGCAGCCAGGTCATAATGCAGATATTGGGGGTGGGCAGTGGAGAAGAGGAGCAAGTTCTCCATTTTTCATGGAATTAAGGCTTGTTGCTATTGCCTGCCTTGACTTAATGTTGGATTTGATTTCTAGCCTGCATCCTTTCCGTGATGCAAATTACTATTCGTTGCCAGGAGCAGTTGCATGGAATCAACTTGGTCTTGACCTGACTCCTGAAAAAGAAGCATATTGTGAATGTATAGTCTAAAGTAGCCTCCTCCTAGACCCTTTCAGCCTTAGCATAATGCTCTTACACATAACCACTTGGCGCCCATCAGAGCCTCAAGTTCCACTTAATTTGCCTGTGAGTGAGCTGAGACTAAACAGGCGGTGTCTGATATTCAGTTTAAAGCTGTGATCAGAGCAAAGCAGAAGCTCAAATAACCTGGGGTAAGCTGAATTTAGTAAATGCCCATTCAGTAAATGTACTGAATTTAGTAAAACGTTTTGAAAGKTTTTTTTTCCTGAGAAATCCCTTCTCCAGTGACCATTTGGTCCAATGTTAGTACTCTCGGGGATGTTATCAAAAGGCAGCAATTTCTAGATAATCTGAATTCTGAATGTGTATCATTGCTTAGAGACAAAAGAATTTAAGAGTGATGCTGAATCATCACAGCAACTTTGCAGTGAAGAAAAGTTATCTTGATGCCACTTTATCTGTCTAAGCATCCTATGCATTGAAGAATTTTTATCTGTATAAATGGCAGCAGCATATAGAAGAGAAAACCAAATGTCCTCCTATACTATACAAAAAAAAAAAAAAAAAAGCAAGCTGTGCTCTCAAGCTGCAAAGCAGTAAAGAAACAGAGATCCTCACACAAAGTTTGTAGTCAGGTAAATCCTGCTGTCTGAAAATATGCAGGTCTGTTTTCTGAGAAAGAAAATCTGTTGCTTAGAAAGTTATTTATGCTTTTTTTTTTTCTATTGGTTCTTGCTTTATGGTTATACCTTAATGTTCATGCTGAACAGAGTCCAATTTTGACATTTCTTGTATGATCTGTAACAGTTTACTTATCCTGCTAAGAATTTAGATATTTAGATATTTAGTTATGAATTCATACATAATGAAGATTGTCGGGTAGAATCAGTTCCTGCCTGAATAATTGCATTTAGAAACAGATGTATATTGGAAGATCTGATTATTTTAATGACTAAGCTACAGTTGGGTAGCTTACCTAAAAAAGCTAAATTAAATTGTATTAAATTGAACTATTTGACTGTATTACAGTGAATTGGGTAGGATCACAAATTTTTCTTGTTCACACTTGGAGGGAAGTAAACAATGATTTTAGAGCTGTGGGAATGATAAGCTCGTCATTTGGCATAATATGTTCTAGAATAAGCCATAAGGAGTGGACAGATCCCATACACTCCTACCAAGGGCTGGAATTCTGCATGCATAACAGATGTGACTTCAAGCACATTTTTGAAACAACTCCTTACAAAGAGACAAGTAAAAAATAAACCAATGCTGGTCTTATTTTTACAAGCCAAAGAATGTGTATTCTGAGAAACTAATGTGAAAATTGGTAGATGAGCATAAACTTTTAACAATCCTAAATTTCTGTCACTGTATATGGTCCAAAAATTCTGATCAGCTATGAATCTTTCTTGTCTTAGAGTTGTTTTCAAATGCTGGTCAGATACCAGATAAAATCTACCTTTGTGGAAATTATTCACCATAAAATCTCTTAYAAAAGCTGAACAAGTAACTAATCCATAGACTAGGAAACAAAGCACCTGATCTAGTAAGAGATTTYTGTGCCCTAAATGGGATATAAGTGGAGTTTAGGTCTCTGTATGAAAATTGTGATGCAAAAAGTTGGCAGCTACTGAAGTCAAGACTTCATTACTTGACTTAGTGGTGCTTTTGTGCATGCCCAGAACTGACCTAGGCTTGGCAGGGGTATGCAGATCTATGCCTGAACATGACTGGGATCCAGAAATTAGTTGTTCTATTGTTTGAATCCATGGAATGGAAGACCTAGGAAATGAATGCCCTGCAGACAGGATATAAAGTACTTACACAATCACAAAATGCAGTAGTGGTCAGTCAGATTTTGCATTAGGGCTCAGGTTTTGCACTTCTGCACAGTTTCTGTACTTCAGTGCATAAAATAGCTCTGGGCAAGCCACAGTCCTTGGAACTGGGACCAGAACCTCTATCCACCCCTTCTAGGTAGACCTCAACCTCTTGTACTTTCCTCTGGGGATCACTGACTGCAGCTCACAGTGGCAGCCTATCAGGAGGCTGATGGGGATGCATCCCCACCCTGCAGACTGGTGGTCAGACCAGAAGGAGGGTAAATACTGATAAGGAGTTGGCTGCTTTTCCCCCACAAGGCCTGCCTAGCCAAAGAGAAACCCCCTTATCCCTTTAACTATTYGGTTGATTGCATAGGAGTGCCTTGATAGGGTGGTCACAGACAAGGTGATTGGAAAGAAGAGGTTGAAGTTTTAAGTGTACATATTTTCTTTGATCCATTAAACTGATACTTCCTTTCAATGAAGCCTGCTAATTATGGTAGTAGGTAAAGCAAGGTATGTAGGGAAAGGCTGTATCTTTTATTAWTCTACTATCACTGCTGAAAGCTGACTGTCATGATGGAAATTCATACTTTTTTTTTTAATTTAAATGACTAATGGTGAATATATTAAAGGGCAGCAATCACATACTCATACAGGTGACCTACATTCACAAGGAAATTACTTCATTTGCTACTATCTAAATATCTCTCTGCGTGCCAGTTTGTTAGAAAGTTCATTAAACCAACCTGTTGTATGGCTGATGGATCACTATAGAGCTGTGATCTGCTGAGGTCTTGCATTTCTTCCTGCTTACACAGCCTTTCTAACAGTAACTTTTTGCCTTCTGTTACTGTATGCACTTTCTCTGTTAATAGTCTTTGGACCTGGAGTATGGTATTTTCAGAAGCACTTTTCTTGAGTGGAACAGGTGACATTTCTGTGGACAAAAGCAAAGTACRTTGTTAGAGTGCACAAGTCAATGAACTGCTGACTGAAAACCAAGCACATAYGAGATTTTCCTAATGCTGCCTTTCTATTAGGTCGGGTGTTGTGTAATGGGCCATTGCATAATGGCTGGTAGGGCTGAAGTATACCTTTTCCTAAGCACTGCTCATGCTGACCTCTCTATTAAATCTTTGGCTTTGCCTCACTACTGCATTTTTATACTTTCATTTATTGTCAAATGGCTATTTATTTGTTTAGTGTTAGTCCTAGTAGAACTTGTGTGGATGTGCTAAGCAGGTCAAATTTGAAAATGTGCTTAAGATTCGTTTGTGTTCACGGAATGGTTGAGGTTGGACCTCTGCAGATCATCCAGTCCAACCCCCTGCCCAACCCTAAAGCATATTGCACARGACCATGTCTGAGCAGCTTCTCAGTATCTCCAAGGATGGAGGCTCAACCATTTCTCTGGGCAACCTGTTCTAGTGCCTGTTACTCTTAATAGTAAAGAAGCTTTTTCATTATGTTCAGTAGAACGTTATGTGTTTCAYTTTGTACCTGTTATCTCTTGTCCTATTGCTGGGCACCACTGTCTCAAATCTCTTTCATCTGTCTGTAGTCAAGACATCATTTTGTCATTGAAAATAAGGAGAGGAAACCTTCTGAAAGTTGGCTTTGTCATCCTTTGTTCTTGGACTTTGTGACTTGGGCATGACAGTTCCTCCAGGAACAAAAGCAGCTGCTGACCTTTCCTATATCGAATTGCATACCATGCATTTCTGTATTTCTGTCCATCCCTTCCCTTTTGCTGTCTCAGAGATCTTGTAGCACACTGTCTCTTTGGTAACAACTGTCTTACCTGGCTTTTTCTTCTATTGTGCTTGTGATTTATCGGTGCATTTGCTGACACATGGAGTAGTCCCCAAAAAAGAGCATGTCTATTATTGCATTATCCTTATTTTCCTCTTACCATCCTTATTTTACTCTGAGAAACATAGATTATTAAAACAGGTTCTTTCTAAAATATTCTGAACTTTTTCTGGTATCTGATCAAAGAACAATTTTGTGACGTTTTCCTCATTTTTAGGGATAAGAACTGAAATAAATTGAAGTTCTCTATCAGGCMCACATTTTGTTCAGGTGCTTTCTTTTGGGAATTGTTGAGGGTGAGAGAAGAATGTTAATTTGGGGACTGGTGAAAGAGGATTTTTTTTCCTAACTGTTTGAGTACTTGAAACTAGTATCTGGCTTTCAGCTATGTAGCTCGGTAGGGGCACTTTAAATAAAAGGCAGAAAGGGCCTTACCATCATTCCATATTTTTCTCTTGATGCCCAACGATCCCGTGTTTGATGTAACATCTCCCACTGAAACTTAGAAGAGAAAAGCAAGGTGACTAGATATTTTGCAAAGAGATCCTAAAAACACAATCAGTCGGAAATCAAAAAGCTTTATACTACAAAAGGAGATGGATCAAGACAAGGAACTTAGAGCAATAAGAATCTTGTGGACAAATTAGGTACTGGTTTAGCACCCAGAAGCAGAATGGAGGCACAACTTTAAGGATGCCTGGAGCAGTTTAATAATTACAGCTTTGTTTGTTAGTTTTTGTTTTTTCTAGAGCTTATTGTTTTTCCTGCACCAACATTTGCAGCACAGACAGGTTACACAGTCCTTTCCTATCATGCTGAAATGTAAAGCAGTCAAGTTAGCATAAATACTCTTGAAGTTGACAAGTTCCAATTTATGCAAGGTAGAAACGAGCAGTAGTATCTTCCATTTCCAGAACTGGAAAAAAATGTCAGCCTTAAGAAAATCATCTATCACATAAACATCACTGCCCCGTATTATTGATTTTTTTTTTTTTTTCCCCCCTCTCTCTTCAGGGTGCACTTTCATCACCTATATAACCCATCACTTTGTCTAGCCCCATTTCACCACATCTCACTTAAGCTTACACAAAAATTCTCCAAGAATCTCATTGAACGCTTCAAATGTTTTCAGTTTTGTTAATTTTCTCTCACTCTAAATTTCTCCAAAGGCCATCTCTGTTCCGCGAATATTGGCTGCTTGACCAGGCAGATACAGGTTCTTTGTTTATTTTCCTTAGCCATTCTGGCCACATATCTCACTTCTGTAGCACGGGTCAACACACAACTTTAAACTTTATTTTAAAAACTGTAACTCATTTCTACAATTTTTAGTACCTGATAGGAGGCTGGAGCTTTCACTCCCCCAGCCTGATGGGCCTAGAGGCTGTCTCCTTAAGATGCAGTCAACTTCATCGTAAAACCTCATTTTTCTCCTGGGATTACCATGATGCTCATTTTCTTTCTGCAGTGCTCGGTATTCRTATTTTAGGTTCTTGTACTTTGTGCGACATTGTTTCCAGTCTCTGTCTATTCCACGTTTCATCAACCTTCTGGCAATTTCCTCAAATATTTCTTTATTTCTTGTGGCTCCTTCAAGCATTTGCTGTATCTTTTCATCTGACCATATGTTTATCAGAGCTTTGACTTCATTATCACTCCAGTGTTTTCCTGCTCCGGTATCATTAACTGTAATAACTTTAAAGTGATTTTGTGCTTCATCCAAGGGAATTTGATTGTCTGAAAATATAAATGAAACAATAACTGAGTATTGCTTACTACACAGGAGGGGAAAAAAAAAAGTAGCTAATGTTTCAGTTGAGAGTTGGAAGATTAAACTTTGCAWTGTGGATACTCATTTGCAGTCACATTTCATTTAAGTATGCCAAATATATAGCAGGTTAAATCTCTTGTTTCTTAAAGGCATCTAAAAGTTCAGATTTTTCTCGGTGTAATTTTGTTGCTTATTCTAAAATGGATGTATCAGTGTGTGGCACACAAAAAAGTAATAGCCTATATGCTTTAAAAGCAACAATGTATCTACAATGATAAGAAAAGAGTTTTCCAATATTGTTTCAAATTAGAAGGAAAAGACAAACTATGCAAAGGAAAATGCTACCCACAATTCAGCAACAACAAAAATATTGTTTACAGGTAAATACTAATGATAAAAAAGAAGGAACTGGAGTATTAATACAAATATTGCTTATGCCTGGGAATGGAGATATGAAATTAATTCTCAAGTTTAGTGATAAATTTCAACTGAAGTCACAAGTGGGTAAGCAAGGCTGTGTTTACAGTCAAGATCTGTCAGTTCCAACTTTTGGTATTGTAATTACACTGGGATTTTGTTTCGGTGTAGATGCATGGATCTATATACTCACCTGTCCCAACTAGCCGCTTTGCTACTGGTGTACAAGATCTGTCTTCTGAGGTAGTGCTTATAGAATCATCATCTGTAGAAATATATGGTTTAAAATACAATTGATTTAGACACATAAATTGCAAATATTATTCTCATGTTTTGCAGGTATCTTAAATTCRAATTCTTAAATTCTTTATCTTAAATTCAAAATGTCTCAAACCAATAGTMTTTAATGCAACAGATTCTAAACAGGTCTTCTGCCACATGCCTCCCTAAAGTAAAATCAACACAAAAAATCATTTCATAAACCCTGTCTTTCCTTCTGCCCAAAAAGTAGCTGCGTGCATGCAAGTTTACAATGCTCGATTAAAAATGTAGGCTCATGTGCATTGTTTGGATCTTATGATGGATTAATTCTATGTGTGATTTACTTGCTGTATGAAGGGGAGGGAAAAAAAATGTTCTTTCATAAGCAGGTTGACCCATACTCTCAAAAAAAAAAAAAAAAAAAAAAAAAAAATCTTGCATCTCCCTTTAACACTTCTGGCTACATATTTTATTTTAAACTATGTTCCATAAATTCATTGCTTGCATTTTTTCGACCATGCTGCCTCTAATCTTTTTCTGCTGTCACCAATGGCATGTGTGGACCACTGGCTTTAAGTGATTACTATCCTCAAATGGCTCTTACATGACAAAAACAGAAAATTTGTTTGTATAATAAGGCAGTCCATTGATTCACATGACATTTTAATCTGTGTCATTGTGTGTGAGCTGTTCTTTGCATTAGTGTGACCTTGCTGTGTCTCTGAACTTTCAGGGTCAAAGTTTTACATTATCCTCAATGTAGCTTGTGTTTTCTTTGTGGTATTGCTCTTATAGAACTGCTGTAACTTGTCCTAAGTTAATACATCTCACAGTTGTCATTCATGATTTATCTTACATCAACAGCAACCTATGTAAACAGTTGTAAAAGCTCTGCTGTTCTCTGAACATTCAAACTCCAAACAACATAATGATTAAGAAAGAAGTTTTGCCTGGATCACAAAAATATTGCCTTTCACAATAGAAATATTCTCATAACAGAAACTTTCACGGTAGAAGGACAAAGAATTATGGTTCACAGAATCACTAAGATAGTTTCTCTTCYACTGTTGCAATTAATTTGTGGATGTAGATAATATTTTGATCCAGGATAACAGGCCAACAGATTTCCAGGCAGTCTCATTTCCTCTAATGCATTTTTTGATGACCTTTCATGGTTTCTCTAGAAGATAATTATCCTTAATATGTTAACGTATGCTAACATATTAATGTTTTCCAGCATCTAATTTTAACATTTTTAATAAAATAAATCTTCTCCTGAATACATTAACTGAATGTATGACTTTTATATCCTGTTAAAGCTCTGATTTCAGTTGCATGTTTAAAATAATTCAGAATATCTGTTACCATTGCTGGATAGTGAATAGATTGAAATTAAATGTACTATCCTGTCATGAAGTAGTTTGGAGAAAAAAAAAAGATGAGTGTTAAAATCTCTCTCTGAGACAGCTATTTAGCATTTCATTTCATGTTCCCTAGTAACAGTTTATGGAAAAAATGTACTGGTTTTGCAGTCAAATGTAGAAGTGTTACTGTAGCTAGCATAATATGTATATTTCTGGAGAAGTAATTTTTTTAATAGTGGATAGAAAGGAGAGATGAATRTTTATGCAGTTTTGCACAACAAAATCAAGCAGAAACAGGTTTTATCATACCCAGACGTAGAACCAGTGTATTGTGTGGGAATAGACCATGAGTATTAGAAACATGCAATTCCCTGTGAAGCAGAACATGCTGCTACAACCAGGAGGGCATGGCTGACCTACCGATGTCAATCATCTCCTTCTTTATTTGTGTGGCTGCCTGGTTGGAATTAGTGAAGTCCTCCTCATCCTCGAGGATTTCTGTGCAAAAAATGTACAGTTCTTGTTAATTAAAAAGGCCTTCAGTTATGTCATATCTCCTACTTAAGGAGATCTGCAGTAATGAAAACTCTTATTAAAGTTTTCATGTTTTAATTCATGAAGACTGTCACCTGTCTTCAGCAGTTTGCTTAGAAACCTAACCTAAGCACTTCAGTGTGAAGCTCTAGATCAAAATAAAGCCATAACACAACATAACAGTTGCTTCATAAAGTTCAGAAATGAAATGTGCAGACCCTTAGAACTTTTCTACAAGTTCTGTAAGACACATTTAATGACTGGTGACCCTGGGTGCAGCAGAATGGGAAAGGTGGGAGTCTTTCAATGAGCTCAGTGCGTGTTGACAACACCCCTTCTGAAAGTCCCCAGGTGACTTGTGTCAGGAGTCAGTGCCCAGGACAAGGCTGCTCTCGTTGCACCACGGTGCTCTGCCTGGGTGGTTGATCTGCAAAGGACTGTAAAGGCAAAGGACTCGGCTCCTGTCCTCGGAGCTTCAGCCTTGCTGTGGAAGGGTTTAGGCCGGGGCAGGCGCACAGCCCTGGCCCCGCGGCCCTGCCTGCACCTTGGTGGGGAGGAGAGCTCTGCTCCTCTTCCATTGGCTCCCCGGTGTTTAAYGGAGGAATCCACCCCTTTGCCCTGGCAGATGATGCAAGTTAGGCTGTCAGGTCCTCCTTTCCAGGTGAGGAAACTGGGGTACAGAGATTAAGYGCTGAAGGCCACGCTGTGGAGCAATGGCAGCTGGTTCTGGCTCCCAGCCTGTTCTCAATCCATTCAAGAATATTGCCCCTAAATGTTGAGCAATCGGGTATATTCTATAGCCATAACACTTTACTAAAAACTCTTCTCCCAAACCAAAGTGGACATGTTTGCATCAGACAATCTGTATGTCATGGCCAGCATCACGCTCTTTATTTTTTGCAAGCCAAGAATATAGATAGCCTGGTCTGGCCTTCTGGCCTGGCATTTTTTTCTAATCACTATTCTGAGTTTTGGGGTGGGCATAAGAAGAGAAAAGCTTAGGCAAACACTGCAAACAATCACCAATTTCTCCTAATAAGCCACAGCAGCTTCATGCACCTTGGTTAGTCAAGCTATAGACTTTTGCCATAAAAACAGGCTTATCTTCTGCTTCATATCTGAGGCATTGTTCAGAAAAGCCAYGCTGTGTATCTCTTACTCTCTCAGACTGATATAAGCTACACTGTCCTTTGACACTGTCATTTTACTGTACACTGTTTCCTCTGCTCATGAGGGAAGATTAGGAATTTCCCCTTGTGTGTGTCTTATGTAGTAAAAACAGGGAGCAGAGAAACTAGGAAGCACTTTCTCTGTGTGTGGCTTGCGTTAGTTCTTGAACAGTTTGCAGATTTGATGCTGTCTTTTGCCCTGACGTGCGGAACTGGATGCCGACAAGACCGAGTGCCCAGTTGTGACTGGGGGCCTGCCGGCTSAGCGCGGCTCAGGCTAAGCCAGGGAGTCATCAAGGACTTCCGCGTGGCTCCTCAGAGGAGTTTTAAACATTATCCTTTATGTCCGTACCTTCAAAAATTGCAAGCACAAGGCAGCAGCCTTTCCAAAGAAACTAACCTTAAGATCTTAACTTTAAGCAACCATTTTTTTAAAAGCCCTCAAACTGGTAGCATCTTGGCAGTATCACAGTTTTTTCATTGTTTTCTTGAGAAGGATATAAAGTAAAACTTATGGGGCACCAAGAATCTTAAAAATTAATGACAAGTCATTTATTTGAAAGCTAAGTACTTGCTGTAGGTTTGTTAGTCAAAATGACTAAATCTTGTTTTATTTCCAGATTGATTTAATATAGATATCTGTTATCAAAAAAGAGAAAATGGCGTCAATCTGAGGCTGCTTTGCTAAGTGCCTTTTGCCAAAAAACTGAATGTTTTTCCAACTGATACAATGCGCCTGCACCCTCTGCTGGCAGTCACTCGAGGAAGCTACTTCAGTGCAGTGGCGTGAGAAAAATTTCAATGAACTTGCAGTCCACAGAAGCACTTCTAAGGATCCGTTTGTCTTTGTTCCTTCTCAGGTGGCCACTCACTGTTCTTTGAGTGTGAATACATTTGGGCAGGGGAGAAAAACAACCCAGTGAGACATCAAATAACTAGGTATTTTCCTGAAACTGTTGTGTTGCCTTTTAGCTGATGCCATGTGAATATTTTCCTTCACGGTAAAGTATGGCAAACCTGACTGGACTTTGAGTAATGATGAGAAGCACATGCACTTCTGTGCATTTATGCCCTTCTGCAGGAGCCAGAATCTATAGTTTCTGCCCAAGTTAGCTGGTATGTTTCTGGACAAGGTGTGCCCATAACTCTGACTACAGAGTAAATTAGTGCTATAGATCAGTTAGGAAATTGCAGTGCTGTGAAACCCCAGTGTAAGGTTAACTGAATTTCTAAATTCTTAGTTAAATCAAATTATTATTTCTTTCAAAGTCTTCTAATCTTTTAAAAAAACACAGCTAAGTGTGTATATATAAATATATATATATACACACACATATATAAAATCATTATAAATAATTATTGTGGAGCAATTTTCTATGGATTCTCTATGGAATTTAAGTTGAAAAATGGAGTAGTCTTTAAGAAGTCATAGCCTAAAGGTGATAAATTGTCAGAGATCCATTTAAATAAAAAAAAAAAAAAAAAGTAATATCCTTGTCTGCTGTCATTTTTCACTATTTATCAGCAAATGAACTTACAAATACCTCATGAACTACTGCTTTTTGATTTTAAATTCCTTCGAACTATTCAAGAAAGTTATGGACCACATTAGAAAATAAAGAGCCTCRATATTGTAAAGTAAAAAATACACATCTTTTCTCTGCATTATTGTAATGCCTAACTATATTACCACAATTAATTATTAAACTGTTTTTCTATCACCTGTAATTTAAATGATTTTAGTCTGAATTGTTCACATGGGAATTTTCCCATTAGAATTTTGGAAAACAAAACTGCATCACTTCAAGATAGAGTGCTGTTCTCTGGCTGTTTTTTTCGATAGAAGTTAGAAGTTCAGTAGGAAAGGCTGAGCTAGAGACACTTGTGAAACACTTACTATTTTAATTCTTGCCCATAAAATCAGATTTCAATTTAAGTAATTAAAATACCTAAAACTAAACAAAATTTGCCGTTGCAACGTTTGAGAAGGGAAATGGTAATTAATGTACACTATGAATATTCAGTATCTACAAAATGCCTTAAAGGAATATTGAAGCAGTAAGAGTAACTATGCTAAACTTCACTGGAAATAGTTAATATTTTTAATTAACTCGTCTAGAAGATGCAGAAAGTTACAGTATTACAGAGCTGTAATGAGTTCAAAACTGTTYGAGAACAGCGTAATAGCACTATCAAATCTGTATTATGTATATATCTGTATATACCTCAGTGTCTTACTACTGTCCATATATGTATAGTAATTTAGCTTCTTTCCAGAGAAATGTAATACAATGCATTTTACAGGCTGTCTTAACTGGTATTTATGAGTTCTTACATATTTTCTTTCTTTCAAAATGAGGCCCCTATAGGAAATTCATTCTTCMTGACAACCTATTTTTTTTCCTAATGAATGTTGCAAATATCTATGGTAATCTAGTAAAGGACACATTTTTTTTAGGATTTTTTTGAATGAAATTTAAATTAATGATGATCTTGAATGGCAAGGCAAGAATACTGTTGTCCAGCATACCTCCAGTTACTTCTAATGATCAATCATATCTTTACTTACTTGTCATAGCTGTTTCTTTCGTTATGTGCAGAGCTGCCAGATTCTCTGGAGTAGTATTTACAGTGACATCATCTGTCAGAAAATTTTTAATTTGACATTAAAACGTTTCATGTTCACAATATACTATTTTAAAATTCTATAACACTACACCTAAATACCTTATTTATGAGAATATTCTGCCTTATGCTACTGTAGGAGATCATGAGGTAATCTTTGCTGTGAAGAGTCAAGCCTGTCAGCCTTCCAGAAAGACCCTCGTATATGTCAGTGGCTGAATAATGTTAAATCTCCCTTTCCCCTGAATGCTGAGTTCAGATGCAAAYCATAATGCTCCTTTCTTAAGAACATCTGAGTTTCATATTCAGTGGTCAGCATAAAATAGATAGTGATACTCTTAACCGAAATTTTGATCCCTTGATGTGGGCATTTGCAAAATTACATTAAATATTGATCAAGTTATATTGTGAAAAAGAGAATACCACATTAATTTATGCATAGGATACTATGCAATTCTAAAGGTTGGCAAGGCATGGTTTAAGAGAATGCAATAATACATGACATTCAACTTCCTTAGACGAATAGTTTCATCTCCCTTATAYCCTGGACCTTTAGTCTTTTTTTAAAAAAAAACTTACTAGCCTATTTTTATCAAATTTAGCAGAGCTCATTGCAAGTATATACATATATGCCTATATTTATTAAATGTGTGGAATAATTATGATGCAATACCCTGCTTTAAAGCTTTATAGGCCTCTGCATTTTCTATATCATTGCAGTGTGGACCTATTTCTGAAATCCATTTTAGCTTACTAAACTTGAGGGTTTGTATAAAGTAGAAGGCTTTCCAGTTTACCTGAGTCAGAAACCTTCTTAATATCTGCAACCCGTAGGTCTTCTGACACACTACTAACAGAGTCCTCTTCGCCTGTGTCTCCAGGCATTTCTGTGCAAATAATGCTATATTAATTAGGGTACCACATTAGAGGCCTATGTAAGTACTGTGCAAGCACAAGGCTGTGTCACACCACAAGAACCACCCAGCCTAGGGCCCTGCTTCTGCCTGCAGTCAGTAGTAGATGCTGTGCTCTAGAAACAGGGCAGCTGCATGTACTAATTGTTAGTGTTAATAAGTGGCCGCTATAATATCATTACAGAATTCTACAGTGTAGATTTTTTCCTGTCTAATAAATGGTTGTTTCTGATTCCATGCCAATCTGATACCAATAAAAATGTTTAAAGTCCTGCGTGGAGTAGGTACACTGGTCTACTCTAATTCTGCAAGTTATCCACTAATAACCACAGAAAAGATAAATGCAAGTTCCCACCAGCATTCTTTGGGCTGTTCTTTCTACTATTTTCACATTTATGTCAGTGATTTGGGAGTCTTGCTTCAAAGGCCAGCATAGCTGGCCTGCTTTGGACTGTAAGAGAAAGKGAGTTGAAATGTTAATATATAACTAATATCTACAACTACAGACCTCTTTGGTTCATTATCTTCATTTTTCCAATCACAYAGTCTGATCATCTCTGTGACCCACTTTTTATTTAAGCTGGAAACAATCTCTTCTGTAATGATTTTATTTTGGACTGGTCTCTCTATGTATCTTTATCTTGTGACCTACATTTTGATCTCTTTTTTTCCTCTTGCAAATACACTCTGCTTCTCAGTTTTGTTTTTTTTTTTTTTTTTTTAAGTCTAGGGCAACTATTCAATGTCAAGGATTACCTTATGATAAGTAAAATAAATTACTGGTAAAACAAGTAACTTCCCATTCACTGTTTTTCTTGCCCAGCAAATTGTTTAATCTCCCTGACTGACATTTTGGGGGTTATTTTAAGGTCTATAGTGTTGGAAAGCTAAAACAATTTATATTATAGGGGTAGCTGAAGTACTTACCTATGCAGTCCTTTTCTGCTTTTGCTTCAGTCCATTCTGGAGGCCTCTCACTTTCATCATTATCTGATTTACTTGCTTGTTCCATGGTGCTGTGCCCCAGAATAGCATCCAGTTCATTAAAAAATTTCATACTTTTACTCGTACTCCCTGAGTCTTGGGCATTTTTTACACTCTTGTATTCGTGTTTCAGATTTTTATATTTTGTCCTGCACTGCTTCCAGTCCCTGTCAATTCCAAACTTTTGCAGTCTGGCAGCAACCTGCTCAAATATTCTTTTATTTCTCACTGTCCCCTCCAGTTGTTGCTGGATACTTTTGTCTGACCATATGCGTATCAGAGCTCTGACTTCATTAACAGTCCAGTGTTTTCCTCCTTCGTTTGCTACTGTTGGGATAAAAGTCGGTGTTTTGGAAGCCTCTATTGCTGGCGCTGGATTACCTGCATTGTGTGGGGTAGGGGAAAGACACAGATACAGGTTACCTGCATTAGGTGGTGGGGTGGGGAAAGGACAAAGAGAATGAGCTATTCTGTTTCCTAATATCTTTTCTCTCCAAAGAAGGTTGGAACAAAAGTAATATTAAAATCAAGGTATTTGTCAGAATTTTAAGACATTATTTTTTCTTCTYTTGAAAATTATATGAAAATAGTGCATGGGCTTTTAATTAACTGGAGTGGAATGTTTGCTTCTTTTGTTCCCAAATACATTGAACTTTTACTTGGAACACTCTTGAGAATAACTGATTATTTTATTATTGATAGATTTGTCAGGAGAAGACTGGTTATTTGGATGAGGCAAAGTGCTGCATCAACACAGAAATAAATTGGGCCCTGACACTAGCGTAAAAGCTTCTGCATTTATGTCCAAGTTCTGTTTTTTTACACATGTATAACTTTAAACCTGGCAAGGATCTGAAGAATCTGCTCCTTTATTCTAAGAACACCCCTCTTGTGGGGAGTTGAAGGCGGCAGATTTTCATGTTGTCACACGTTTGTCCACATCAAATATGTGGAGCATAGTCATGTATTATAGCTTATTTGGGGACAACTTGTCCTAGGTATGGTCATTCTTTGCAAGTCTCCACAATTCATTCTATTTGTGGAAAAAAAGAACACAAACAAATATGTATTAAAAGATATCTTTTAAAAAAATCTTTTTAGTCCTGTCTTAATCTGAACTCTGCAGGAGCCAGCTCACTGATAGCGTGTTGGGGAGGGTAGTTTTCAGGCGATGTATCAGTTATGCTTCATTTCTGAGTGAGGGAGTGAAAGAAAATGCTTGTTCACATATGAATTCACATATGAATGCAACCATAGGAGTTGTATTAGTATTGGCTGACAGCTGCCAATATCAAATAAGCTTCATGTAGTTTCTATTCGGTGCTACTGGGATTATTTCAACTCTTTCCGAAGTGGTATGTTCTTCACTATCAGAGGGCACCATGGATATGAGAGAAAAGGCCTAAGAAAAGAATGTGGAAAGGGCTCCACTAGCTCTGCACTTCTCAGTCAAAGCCAGAGAGAGAATACGGGGTAATTTAGGGGAGATAAAGTTTTCTAGCTGTTATGAGGACAAGTATTTTTTGTTAATAAGTTAATTTGCAACTGAGTTCACTTCCCATTGTGGATATTTGTACAGATTATAGTGAGGCAGTGGATTGCTCAGTTGTTCTGCCGTGATGCAGAATAGGTAGAGCAGGGTAGAAACTRTTTACTCAGTTTGTTCCTCATTCCCTCTAATAAAAAAAAAACAGAGGGAATTAAAAGTATTTAACCCATCCTGAAACAAAGTGATTACGGTCACTGAAAATGTGTTTATGTTTCAGATGTAATTTAGTTCTAATTAGTTTAAAAATATTTTCAAAAGCATTTGAGAGAGGATACGTGATATTTGTTGTCTCAAAGATGTCGTGATACTGTATTTTGRTATTTTTCTAAGCTTTGCCAAAAGGCAAAGCAAATGTTCAGAAATCTGCTGAAATGAACYCAAAATATTACGCAATATAGATATAAGGGGCTTAGCAGTTTTTTTAATTGGTATTGGAAATAGTGCCTAAAAATTGAAGACTAAGAGGCACCAGGAAAGAGTTTTTAGTGTCAGTGCATGCATGACAGCCCCTGCAGTTGGAAGTTATTTTGCTGTCTTTGTGTAAAACAACATTCTCAGAATTAGAGGGTTTGTTAGCAGGCCAAGCAAATCTTGGCAGTGTGTTGCAAAAGCAAAGATGACTATCATGGATTTAGGCATATTCCTGTAAATTTTGGTTCAGTTACTTACTGCAAGAAAATGTATTTGGTCAGTGTGGATAGTACAATTAAACTATGTCACGGGATGTGTTTTAAAGGTGAAAGGTGGTCGGTCATGTAGTAGTTCTGTTACAGACAGTGGTCAGTATCTAGTGGTGCATTAGACTACTCAGTCCTAAAACTGGGAAGGGGATGGTGCAAAAAAGTGACCATTTTAAAAAGTTGTTAATCAGAAACTGCCTGGTGGCATAGTCACACTAGCAGAAATGGCTAGGGCATGTTGCTTTTTAGTTTTTGTTCTTTCTGCATCRTCATACTATACCTAGTTGAACTGGTCTGACATGGGACATAAAAAGTAGTGGATCTCCTGSAGCATCCTCATCATCTTCTAAAGAAACGGATATTTCACCTGGGAAGGAAAAAGTTTTTAGATGAAAAATAAGTATGGACTAAATTAGCTGAAATGAGTGTAACTGAATATGTCCATACACAATGAGATTGTTAACTCTGTAATTTCCAAAATTATGTTGTATTTCAAAGTAACCATAAGGGGATGGAAGTTATGAAATGCAAAATAAAATATTTCAATTCTTGCTTCTGATGCCTGTTGACAGTGTTTAKCATTTTAAAATACTTGTAGAAACTAACTTGATTCTAGTTGACTTGTCTGTGCTTCACTGACTTGCAGAATTTGTGGGCTGTGCATTRGAAGTACAGTTTGAAAACCAGAAATGTGAAGTACAAGATGTACAAATAGAAGTGGAGTTTGCACACAGATTACTTTGCACATGGATTTGGATTWATATTATTTATATAGCAGTTAATTTTCCAAGAAGCATATCTAGAGAAGTATAAGAAGAAAACAACATTCTGCAAAGAGTCTGGAAATTATGAAATTCAATAATGGTACAAGGCAAGTGGGAAAATATTTTGGCCAGAAAACAGATGTATTTTTAATGGGCTCAATTCAGCTCTAGCTTTATACAGTACAGTATTCCTTCATTTGATTARAAAACAATACTCTAGCAACTGCAGCACTAGCTTGGAAAGCAGCAGATGTAAATCAGGTTCTGAATCAAGTTAATTTTCACAGATGACAGACTGTTTTAAATGCTACTTCAATAATTTGCTGCATTCAGCATACTGTGTTGATAGAGCGTTTCAAATGATGGTTCACTGTGTGTCGAGTGAGTTACTACCAGCTCCAACCAGGAAGGTCACAAATCAGAGGCAGGATCAGAACTGTACTGCAGTAGCTCATAACAAGGAAATTATTAGTGCAGTTATGGGCAATGTGGTAGCTCCAAGCTAGGTGAAATTGGAAACTAAATTTAGGTTGATTTGAAAACAGTACTGTAAATCCTCCTAACTTTCAGCAAGATGGAATGACTCCTAGATAGTGTCCTGCTCTGTCACTGCTCCCAGCTGTCTGCCGTGTTTCTCCGGCAGCAGCTGCTGCTCCCTGACCAAGGAAAGGGTTGACCAAGGAAAAAGAGCTGCTCCAGTGCCAGGAGCAGCGTCTGGTCTGCTCAAGAGCTGCAAAGAAAACTRTGGAAAAGCAGGAACCCTTCTTTTGTTTGAATGCCACTGAACGTACCTAGGCACRTGGCTGAGGAAGTTTGTTTGTTTGTTTTAAAGTCCTGATAAATGAAAATGAATAGCTGCTTTTAAGCAGTGCTGTTTACTCAGTAATATTTAAAAGAAACAATTTATAATTTATAAATAAGAAAAGTTAACACAAAATACATTGAAATATTTGGGAAGAAAAAGAAAAACAACAACAACAACAACAAAAAGTTCACTTGTCTGTATTGCATACCCGTATTCAATAAAATATGTATATAAGCAACTTGTAAATGTGAAAGTCCAGACATGGAAAGTGATATATGAGAAGCATTTTCCAATTAGCATTTCTGAAGGATCTCTTTTTGTTTCTGTTACCTTTCTAAGCTAGGTACAAATGACAATATTTTCATTATGATTTATTTCTAGTTTGACTTGATACTTCTTCTGAGTTTGCTGTAAAGCAAAGGATGGTAGAAGTGGCCAGGCACAATAGATATTTACTGTTGATGTTTACATCAAGAGGGAAATGTAGACAGCAGACATTATTTAATATTAATTGCTTCAGCAAGCTTTATTTTTGTTGTTCAGATTCAAAAGTTAAAACYAATTTTTGCTTTAATCTGAAATAATCAAAGCTGGTTAACAAAATAAGGTGGTTGTTTGTTTGGACTCTATGATCAATGATACCGTTTTTCATAGAGCACCATCACTCTATGCGGATTTTATTGATGRTTGATTACTGGGGTAATACAAAACTTGGTTTTAAGAGAACCGAATCTGTTGTTTTTTTATCCTTTTTAATGATTATTTAAAATAAGACTGTGTTTGCCTCTGCGAACATATCCTGTTGGAGGATAWCATGAACATCATTGACTGTATGTGCTTCATGCAGAAAGGGTCGTCTTTCCATTAGGAGCTGGGAGCCAGTTGGTGCGGCTAGCAAGTTTGTCCTGAGTCATCTCTCTGATTTGATTTAAAAATACTAGTTTCTTCAATTACACTTTCAAGAGAAAGCTCCAAAGCATTGGAGAGCTACAGTCTGGTCCCACAGAGGTGCTCTCTGCTTTCCCTCCTTCCCTCTCCAGGCATTCCCTCCATAACTGAGAGAACCATCAAGCCAACCCAAGGCCAGCTCGGTGGCTTTTAGGGAGGATGGGTGTGAATATTTAGATTGAGACTAAGCAAAAATGTGAAGAAATGCAGGAGTGTTTGGGGGGCTTAAGATGACACTTGCCATGCTTTTCAAACAAAACAGGTTAGTATAACTTAAGTTTCCCTAATTAATGACGTGCATACTTGGAATATTTTTGGCATAGTTTTTAGTTTATTTGCAATATTTTGTTTTTSCTGCACCTCCCATCCAAATCAGAAGCCTTGGCTTCTTCAGCTGTCAAAATAAGGCTTCTCAGACTCTATTTAAAGAAGAAGGGGCCGTTTTTCTCCCCTCCTGGGTATTGTTGTGCCGTGAAAAAGGAGCARCCCAGTAGGGGACTTTCAAGGAAAGATTTATTTATTTATTTTTCCCCCTATGGAGGATGCCCGTGTGAAACCCACCCCATTTCCCCTCAAGGCGGGGGCAGTTGCGGCGCGGGTGGCTGTGGTGGGAGCCGAGGGACCTTCTGCAGCCATGCCCAGAGCGGCAGGTTGTTCTGTGGCGGGGCTGCCCCCATGAAAACCTCACCACCACAAATGAAAATGAAAACTCAGGCTACCCCTCATGAAAAACTCAGCACCACAGAGCCACAACTGCCACTTCAGCCTTAGAACTGCCCTTCGCAATACTGSGCTTGACAGCTTCCCCTCATAGGCCTTGCAACCCTGACTGCAATAGGAAAGGGACTAGTGTTAGAATAGATCTCTACACTAGACTCTATTCTAGCRTAGAGTTACTTCCTTGATTTGTATTCTTAAATTGAAAGTTAATGTCCTGACAACCTTCCTCTCTGTCTTTTGTTATGGATATGTCCTGCGTAGCTGCAGGATATGTTTATATCTGAAAATGTTTTCATTGTGGCTGAGAAAATTTCACATTTAAATTCTTACCGTTAGTGTTATATTATTACAGCTAATTACATTTGATTTCTGCTTATTATGGAATCCTTAAGGTTGGAAGGAACCTTTAGAGATCTGGTTCAGTAATTACTGCATTCAACATACTGTGTTGATAGAGCATTTCAAATGATGGTTCTTTAGAGATCTGGATCTTTTTTGATTTAAACTTGCTAGAGGTCCAAGACCGTGAGAATTAGGATTAACAATTTGGGCAAACAGAATCAAAGCACATAGGATAATCTAAGGCTAGATCATCAGATGATGGGCTCTGGTTTGGTTTCATGCAGTCTTCTGAAGGGTAGCAGCTTGTATTAACCTAAGATTTGGTCCTCAGTTGTGTATGATGAAGAGAAAGGTATGTAACTGCAATTCACACTGCAAAGAGCATATATTAAAATACTATAAAATCACCATTTTATTTTTAAATGTCTTCAGACAGATTAGACAGATTAGACTATTGGTGAAGCCAGATTAAGGGCAAGCTCTTCGGATAAAAGTGAAAAATATGAAAATTGTCAAGTTGTTTTTCTCAAACCTAGAAAACAGCATTGCAGAAGGAGACTTTCAAGAGGAGAAGGTCAAGCTAGATGTCCATCTCCCTTCAGTTCCTTTGCCAGTCTCCATGGATGCTAATGTTCTGAGGATCCACAATCCTCAGTTAATGTAAATGTGTACATACCGTGGAAACAAACTGGGCTCAGCATTGAATTTCTCTTTATGCCCTTTTAACCATATTATTTTCATACCCCTAATTATTTTGGGGGCATAGACTTCAGTGGTATTTGGGATGCAACATGGAGATTGGGAGTATCAAATAGGGAAATGTGGCCCTAATGAGACATTAAGCACAGCCTAAATACCTTTGTAGAGAGGGCTGAATAAAGCCTGAGGTGCAACTAATTCGTTGGCAATTCCTTCAGRATAAAAGCATTCATTTTACTTTTCTTGCTTTAGAATATTATGTTTAAAATTAAGATCAGCATGGTAAATGTTGCTTTGCTCAGTACAATTTTCAGTGTGAAGTTGTTAAACATCCTGTTAAGCATCTTTGTTTTTCAAATATTTAAGTTAATTGCTTATTAATATTGCTTAATAATTACTTACTCTAGCTATATTTTCCGTTAAAAAGAATAAAAAGTGATTAGAAATTGCAGTTATAAATAACAGTTTTCAAATAAATCATCACAGCTTCAACGTTTACTTGTTGTTTCTCCCTGAAACGGAGCTCTAAAAAAAGCCTGGCATTGCAACTGAGTGGCAGAGGGGGAAAAAAAAGTAACACTTCTTAATTTAATCCTCGCAGCCAGTTGCTCAGTGACACCGGTGGGTCCTGACGGAGCCTCTAACGCAGGCAGTTAGTACAATTTGGTTAGAATTACGCTGCATTTACAGACTTCGACACTGGCGGGTGCTCAAATTTTTCCCCGGAGTGCATCAAGTCAGTTGTGCTCTAGCTGTGAGCTTGGTGCTGTGCAACCTCCGCTTCGATTCCAGCAAACTTGGGCTTTTTATTTATTTATTTATTTATTTATTTATTTATTTATTTATTTATTTAAGCAAGGATAGAAAATAGAAGTGAAAACAGTTTTTTACCTTGCGTGCTGTCTGTGGCGGGGCTTGCGTTGCGCCGCGTCTCAGTTGCAGAGCACCTGCCGTTTTCTTCTGCCGCTAACTGCGTGACAGGTTCATATCGCAATATGGCATCCAGGTCATGAAAAAACTTCATGGTTTTGGTGACATCCCCAGAGTTGTGGGCATATTTGACCGTTCTGTATTCGTACTTCAGGTTTTTATACTTTGCACGGCACTGTTTCCAATCCCTGCAAACTCCCAACTCCTGCAACCTCTTCGCAATGTAGATAAATATTCCTTTATTCCTCAGGGTGCCATGGAGTTGCTTTCTGATATTTTTCTCTGACCAGACGCCGAGCAAGGCTTTAACCTCCTCYTCAGTCCAATGCTTCCCTGCTCCACTCTCCATGTTGAAAGTGACCTGGAAATGATTCACTATTTCTAGCCAAGATTTTGTTTCCTAGGAAACCAGACGGCTGGTTGTCAGTAAGCTCCAGCGAGATGAAAGGATCTAGTTTTACTGGCTCAAGCTGCCTGAGGGGAGTAACTTGAGAAACTGCCAAATAAGCAGCCTCTGTATTAGAGGCAGACAAATAAAGCAGCTCAGGCACAAATGATTGCTAAGGCGCGCGGGCGTCTGCATTAAGCTCAGGCGACCTTCTGCGAGGTGGAAAAGGAGCAGAGCAGCATCAAGATACATATTCTTTTAACCCTTGCTGTGTAGAATGGTTTTAATATTATCGCTGTGCTGTAATGAAAGCAAAACAAGAGACTTGCGCTATCTTGTGCCTTTAAAAGAAAATCCTTGTGCCTGCCCTTTGTGAGGGCTGAACGGCAGGGCTGAGCTCTGTGGGCATCCGAGCAGCCTCTGCTTCCCACCAGGGACCCGCGCTGCAGTTGTGCTGCTGAGAGCGCTAAGTTACCATGCTTCATACTCCAGTACCTGCAATAATGCACATGCTCTTATTTTTATATTAACAAATATATATATACACACACATACACACATACAGTTTTAACTCTAATGACCGTTGATGATTAGCAATTTAATAAAAAGCTTGCATACTTAAATTAGTAAAGCTATATCAGCTTTTTAGTAATGAAATTGAGCTTGGTTTTCTTTCCTCAGTGCTGTATTAAAAATCTAATSCAATTACTTGAAAAGGCCTTTCATTCGGGAGGTTTGCATCTCTTTCTTTATCCTGGCTGATTTTGTTGATTTTTAAAGGAACACCATCAATATTTAAATGGCAATATCTGAAATGTTAAAAAACRAACTAAAAGTTGCTGAATGCTGTATATTAACTCATTTGAGTTTTACTACCAACTCCTGTGTTTATAGATGGGCACCTTRAACTTGTTTATTTGAGCTCAGGAAGAACATCCTTATCTCTGCAGTATTTTGCTTGAAGATTATCTGTGTCAGTAATCGGATAAATTTGTCCAGATGTGAATGATTTGGCTTATTTTGGTTTGTTTTCTCTAAGCAAATGTTCTTTAAAATTTTGCTTAACTGGGCCTAGTGACCAATGCAGGGATTTGAGCCTTAGAGAACATTTGCAATGGGAATGTCAGTGGCAGATTAGACTCTATTATGTAGATTCTTGCCCATAGTCTTACTGTTGCTTTTCTTATCCTAAGTAATTCCAGCCATTTCAATTACAGCCAAATAAGTCTAATGTGTGAATAGCACCTTGTTCAGATATTCTAACAACATTCCAAGTGTTTCCTTTTCTAAGAAGAACATCTTTCCCTTTCCACTCTTATTGTAAAGACAAACTCATCTATTAAGTCTGATTTATGCTAAATAATTTAGACATTGTGGTGTCAGCGTTAGTCCGTAATCCCAGTAATCACCCACACACTCAACCTGGTGGTTTAAAAGCAAGCTTTATTAGCCGGCCGGCGGCGGACCTCATACAGAATGTCCTGAGATCTGCGCCGTTTGAGGAGAGGTTCATGTTTTTATAGACGGCTACAACTTCTTAACTTAAATAACTTAAATGTTATTTACGACCACCATTGACTAACTCCCCCTTCCACAATCTCCTTTCCGCTTGGCATGTTTGGAATCTTATCTTGGGGTCTCAGCAAGAGCAGCAAGAGCAGGGTATGTATCCTGTTAGTCCTTGTCCTCCCTTATAGCAAGCGATATTTACAGGAGCAGATGGCAAGGTTAACTGTAAATTACATAGCCTATGTCTTATACTTCTTTAGCGTGCAAGCTTTTTACAGAAGCAGAAAGCACCCTGTTAACCCCTTATAGGCCTTACATCAGGTGTGTAGAAACTTGGTCTAAATGAGAGTGAACTAGGAATTTAGTAGTCCAWTGAAGTCCCTGCGAATATCACAGCAATAGTAGAGACTACAGCAGCAGTTTTCTTGGAAATAACACCTTGCCTTATTCCAGGAAGGCTTTAAAGGAAGATACATTATAGTCTTCACTATTACCTACAGAAAATTATTCTGCCAAACATACATATTTCATGGATGAGGGCTGTGTTATAAAACTTGGGCAGTTCCATGAAATGATGCTGCTAGTTCTGGTCATGTATCTCCATGACAGAAGATCACAGGAGAGAACAGGAAGCAGMCTTGGAGTGTTCAGCGAAACAGAGCTGATGCTGATTTGCCATAAGAAGAATACTTCMATTTTTAGTGACTGAACACATCAAACGTTTTATGCTTGGGGTCAGAAACTGAGGTGTCCAACACTAGATCTAGGTGCTCAGTCACATGAATTGTCAGAGGGTCCATGTATTTTTATAGGTGGAAATGACTGCTGAAGTGTAAGAAGAAACAATCTATTCCCTTAGACAAAAACATCGTTTTTAAAAACAAACAAAAAAAAACAACAGAGTGGAAGCCCAGACAACTATTGCAGCAAAGTGGCTTTCAGATTAGGCATCTGCTGTTATTTTATGTCCACACTGAACTTGGCCACTGCCTGAGCCAATGCTCTTTAATGGAAAGATTCCCACTGAATTCAGTGGGCTTAGGCACAAGTCTTATGCAACTGTTTTAAAATAAAGTGTAACATGGGCAAGAAACCACATTTTTGATTACAAGCCTGTAAAAGTAAAACAACAAATTAGCTTGCTTTAAAATATCAAGTTGTAAAGGATAGAAGAAAAATCACCAATCCATACTAAGTTAAAATATTTCATTCTAAACATTTCAGTGCTTTATATCAATTGTGTTTTGTCCCCAGGGGCCAGGAGAGTGCCGGAATTGTGACAAGTGATGGAGAGTCATCCCAGGCATTCAAAGTACACAAGGTAAAATGTAAATATATGTCTTAGAGAYGCCCAACTGAGATGCTGAAGATTTGTTTTACCTGGGAAACAGAGCAATTGGAAGCACAGAAGTAACATGTTTTTATGGACTATTCAGATTGAGTTATGGTGATAATATCTAGTTCTGTTACTCGTGCAATCTTTTGTCGTAAGAGCACACCCGAAACACATAACACCAGCATTGTTCTGCTGTGTGTACCCAGGTACACAGTGGCAGTCAAATGGAAGTATTCAGTCTACTGATGTAATAAAAACTACTTACGAAAGCCATCCTGCACTCAAAGTGTTACTCTGGAGAACTGGAAGCAGTTACTGCCTCAGCTTGTGCAGAAAGCAAAAATAAAAATAATTGCTGGCCGTGCATATGGATCTGTGACTAATTCTTGTGTTAGTGAGGATCAAGGAAGTGGCAGCTACTCTGCTCATAAGTAAAAAATATCTGAATAAGAGTTTGAAGGGAAGTCTGAGAAGACTCACCCAATCTTCCTCAAGATGACGAGGATCACAGAGGATGTTAATGGCCATAGCTTGTGCATGTATTATGTGAAGAAAATGTCCGCCTTCTCTGGAAATATTTCCACTTGTTCTGTGCTAAATGGTAGTCAGGAAAAAAATAAGCATCAGCCAGAATCATTCTGGAAGAGCAAAGGATTGCAAACAACTGTCAAAACACCATGGAACTACTTTTGCTTGAGGGTATGTTCTCTGACCACAACCAAAAGGCAGCTTATCTTTGTGTTCTGAAGTCCTTGGGATAGAACAGACCTGCTACTGTTGAAGGAAGAATAATTAAGCTCTTGAAATCAGTCCAAGAGTTAAAACTGCTTAGTGGTAGAAGTATGTATATCTATGTAGGACTACTCAATAGCTCATGCACTTAATAAAAAGTAATTCTCAGAATAAACCTCCAGCACACAATGTAGTGGTTTGTAGTGATTCCATAGTACTGCATGTACTGAGATACTTGGCTGTCATGCTAAGAATTTAACTGACTGCTTGGCCARTTGATGGGGGTGAGGAAAGAACAAGCCACCAAGGGCAAGAATGGTCATATTTACTATTAGTACTAAATAATACAGAAATGATACATCTAACAAAACAATAAGCTTACTACRTGCTTGGTTTTAACAACAGAAAAAGTAAGCAAGGTAATGCACCTAACCATTACTATAAGAGAATAGTGGTTAAGAGAAAGACACATCACCAATTTCCTAAATCCATTACCATCATCCAGATGGGTCATCACTCGGGATCCTCTGTTGCAGCAAGGATTGGGAGAACCTCCTTGGCAACTGGGGAGTCTCCAATGAGACTGCAAGAGGGTCCAGCTTTCATGGAGCCAAATCAGCAAGTCAGAATGACTTGCGTATCTTTTGGGTGGCAACATGAGGTGGCAGCCTTCCCGACCACCCTGACCAGGGCTTGGCCAGAGCCCAGGCCATGGTTGGAAGGGTTTCCCAAAATATCTTGCAGACACTTCCACCAGAGYGTGCAAGAATCTCTAAAGCATCTGGGCTGGTGTTACAAGTGTTAGCATGAGCAGTTCAATGAATCTATGTACAAGGTTTATCTGTGTTTACATAACTAGCACAGGCGGTTCAGGATTCATGGTAAGTCAGCTCTGTCTCAGGCCTGTTGTCCAGGCCCGAGCACCTCACTTCCTCATCATATCAGCTTTGATTTTATAAGAGGGGCAGACTGGCTTTTCTTATCCTTGAGGGACATTTCTCACCTACAGCACTTATAAAAACTGTAATAACCGCAGTGTAAAAAAGAGCATGGGGACTACAATTTATGTGACTTGATTAATCCTGGAAGTGGTGTTGGTTTAAAAAAAGTTTAAGTTAGTTATGCTGATTAAAATATATTTAGGCCTCTGATTTGTAAACCTTAAAAATCTTTTAAAATGCCAGTTCTTTAAAAATTTCAGCAGTTAAGATGCTACAATATCCTTTTATCCTCCGAACTCCAGTCCCCTCTTCAGCAGAATGGAAAAGGTGCCCATTCCTGATGGCTTCTGTTCACAGGGCATTAATGCAAACTCCCCATTTTCAACTGTTAAAACTAATACATATATGAGAATGTGACCTGGGAAGTCTAGCACATGGATTTGTATTCCTTTCTTTTGATTATTAGCAGCCTTTGAAAATGGATTGATAGCCTTTGGCACCCTTTGATATCCCTTGACAAAGAATATTAATCCTTTGTTTTAAACTCTTCAAGCAGCACTGTTTAAAATTTGCCCATCAATGTATTTTAGTTAGAATTGTGCAAAAAAAAATATAAAACATTATTGGCATAGCTACATGAGCTCATGATGTAGAAAAACTTAAATCTCCTTGGACACAACTCTGCCAGTAGGCAAGAGGCTCTGTCTGATTTTTTTCCACGCTCGGATATGCAGAAAAATGTGTTGAAGTAGATACTTACTATGTTCTTATATGCACCAGGAAAGCAAAAACAATTTATGTTTTCTTTTCCTCCTGAAGGGAATGGGTCTTATTAACCACGTGTTCAATGCAGACAGCCTGAAGAAGCTATATGTTTCAAACCTTGGGATCGGGCACACAAGGTACTCCACCTCCGGAATTTCTGAGCTGCAGAACTGCCAGCCTTTCGTTGTAGAAACTCTTCACGGGAAGATTGCTGTGGCACACAATGGGGAACTAACAAATGCTGTACGACTTAGAAGAAAGGTTAGTATCTCCTTGGGGAGGTTCTGGCATCATTCATTTCTGAGTGTGAGGCTACAGTGAGCAATAAATTTGCCATGACTTACTACCACAGTGGTTGGAGTAGTGAAAGATCAGCATAATGACAAGAGTACATTTGTTAGGAAAAAAGTCCTAGGGAGAAGAGGCATTTCTCATTTGTACCTATCATAAGATACATTCTTGATAAAAGGAAGAAACTTAACTTGGTTGTGACAAAGGACAGCTTGGCTTTGAAGCCCTGCTAATACAGGGGGGCGATGGTGAAGAGCAAATCATATGTTCAGAGTTAGAGGAGATGTCATAATTGTAATACAAAATGTTTTTGTGTGGAATATTGTCTTTTTTGTATATTTGGCTTGTGAAAGTAATTATGAGCACTGTTAGGACATATAACACATAAGGAAACCATCAAATCCAGATTTTATAGTGTGTTTGGGTATGTATCAGAGAACAAAATTAAGACTTAGCAGATGTTTCTTTTTGGAATCTGTTCTGTAATAAGTTCCATCCAAAAACAAGAGGGCAAACATATTCTGGCATTGAAGCAAGGCAAATGTATGACATGCTCAAAGGAACCTAGCCTGCTGTTAGTCAGAGCAAGTGTCTTAATACTTTGGGGGAAAAAAAAAAAAAAAAAAAAAGCAGTGGAAATGGAGATGGAGAATTAGTGCTATTTAAAAATACGTAATAATTTTTAAAGATAAAAATTAGCAACTGAAATAGGCACTGAACTGAATGGGTCACAATAGCTGGCTAGATACACCATAGATTTTTTTCTCCTTTAAGTAAGTCTAGAGTAACTAGACTGACCAGATCTAGCAAACCTTACTTTGTGGGAAATAAGWTTTTATAGTCCCACTCTGATTCCTTTCATACCCCTTTCTTTTTGCTCTGTGCCCTGACCACTACTGTGTATTGACATATCTTTTCTCTTTCCATGTCTTCTATAGAAATATTACTGTGTTTTTTCTCCTGTATCTTTTACCTCTTGCCAGAAGAAGCATCAGCACAAAGCTGATCAGATGGTCCAAACAGTAATTTATGTCCTTAATATTGCTGGTATTAATTTTGTTTTTTGTTTTGATTGTGTGTGAAGCAAARAAATGGGATACAAAGGGAGAAATACAGTGCCATACACAGATGAGTTTACTAGCTCATTTTACATATTTGGTTTGTCGGAAGAAGGTTGAGGTATTTCTAGCTTATGATGATCTGATCATCTGAAACACTCATGTTTTAAAACATTTGTTCATTGCACAAAGCTTTGGTTAAACTAAAACATGTGTAGTGTTACGGGGGATGTCTTTTACGCTGGTGACACTTTTCTTTTGTTTCTTCAAAGCTGATGCGCCATGGTGTGGGACTGTCAACCAGTTCTGACAGTGAGTTGATCACCCAGCTGCTGGCCTTCACACCTCCTCTAGAAAATGACGATACTGCAGACTGGGTAGCAAGGTGAGCAGGAGGAGAGGTTTTGGAATCARGAACAGCAACCTARTTGAAGAATGATAGGCACTTTTAAATGCACACAGGTGTTTGTGTGTGGCACATGACTGTGTTAACCTAYGTCTCGTTTCAGAATAAAAAATTTGATGAATGAAACTCCAACTTCATATTCTTTGCTAATTATGCATAAAGATATAATCTATGCAGTACGTGATCCATATGGGAATCGTCCGCTCTGCATCGGCCGCCTTATTCCAGTAGGGGATATGAACGGAAAAGGTAAAATGCACACACAGACCCTTTAATGTGCCACAAGCCACTGATAATTAAGTACAGCTGCACTTACTGAGGTAAAAGTAGAATATATGAAGTTTAGAAGTCAGCTTTGAAATTTCAAAATTAAAAAGAAATAATAATTAAAAATAATTTGTAGGAAGTCTGCAAATATCTTTTCTGCTTCCAGCAAAGTAAATCCTGGTTCTCTGATGAYAGCCAGAATTAGGCAGCCCGAGTGTCATGAAATATTTGATGAAAATATAACTAAACTGTATTCACTCAGGAAACCATGGATGAACAAGTCTGGTTTCTTACTTTCTCTGGTAATCAGATGACTGAAAAGAGTTGGATCACTGGCAGTGTATTTCTAATTTTCAAGCTCTCCCGGTCACAGTAACTATGATAGTGGGACCCTATAAAATCACTTTATGGGAAGTAGTTCTTTCTGTCTCATTTAGCCTGCAAATAGACATTTTTCCCAAAGTGAAATTAAACTTTGCTAATCGTGTAAAACTAAAATAATCCTAGGGCAAATATCTATATTGATGAAACTTGGTATTTCAATCACAGGAAAAAATGTGTGGATTCTTTCTCTTCATAATATATATATATATATATATATATATAATATATATATAAAAAAAGGTATATGTTAAAGATCTGAGTTAAGAACATACAGAGCAGAGTTTTTTAGGCATACAAACACTCCTAATCTCTTTTACATGATTTGTTCTGGCCTGTGCCTGTTTCCTACAAATCCTTCTTACTGAGATTCAATACAGTATCTCTTGTAGTTGAAAGGAATGAATTCACTGACACATTTAGCGTAAGGAAAAGTAAAGAATTTCTTGTCCAGACAGAAGTAATTATTTATATTGAAAGTCACTGAAGTAGAATTAGAATAAATTTGAAATAGTACAGAGATGAGAAAGGTAATTATATGAATTGTCCCTCTTCATGAACAGTGAATATGATGCTGTATTTTTTGAATAATATTACAGAAAGTTGGGAATGCTAAACCTTCTAGTTAGAAATTCCAACAAGTTGTGCACCCAGCAACCATAACAAGGCAGTGCTGCAGTAGAAGTGCAATGTGTGTAGTGGGAATGGTAGCAAGAATTGTGGAATCTAACTATGACTGAAATCTTTTATTTCAGGAAAAGATAACAGTGAAACAGAAGGCTGGGTAGTCTCCTCTGAATCCTGTAGCTTTTTATCTATCGGTGCAGAGTAAGTGCCCTGAATCTCAGGTTATCYGAAAGCTCTCCTCAAAAAGCAATGAAAACCTCAAATTGCCAGTGATCATAATCTATAACAATGCCAAAGATAACAAAAATCAGTTTGTTGGGGTGTGTGGAGCTTTTTTGTTAGATGCAGTTTCTTTTCATGGCAGGCTTCATGTAAAAGAAGGTAAACAATTATGTAATCAAAATGTCACAGGATGATTTAATGGCAAATTTTCTCTGTTACATCACATCTAATCATTCCAACCCATAATGTTTTTTGAAGTTAGCCTAGTTAATGGCAGAACTGTTGTAGTACAAAATATTTTAGCTACAGAAAAAGTTTCAGTTCAGCTCCAGACTCAACTAACTCCAGCTGTTGAATATGCTGTCTAACAAGCCAGCCTCCTTATGTTAAAAATGYGACAGGCCTTTGAAACTATTTTCATGTGGACAAACCCACAGTAGATGGGTAAGACTCCATTCACATTAACTCTCGAGCTAAGGGATACTTTCCCTTAAGACACAAAGGCACTTTCTCTGGACTGCTTAAGGAACTGCTTAAGGAACTGACTAATAACATCTGATATAAATTTTCTGTATTTCTTCAGGTGTAAGAATTGTATGTTTCTGGTCAGTTCTAGTCTATTTGAGGGTAGCTATCTGACAATCTTAGACAGTTATTTCTCATTATTTCATTGTTTACTACCATCTTTGTTCTAGAGCATGGTATTATACTGCTTTTTATACTGCTTTTATGTGTCTCTACTACTGATCTAGGACTGAATGATTTAGGTATATTYACTCTCAATGAAGCTTGTATTAGACCTCTTCTTACATAAAGGAAGAATACCTTAATTATCTGGTACCAGAAGTAGTAATTCACCACTTTCAGGTTTTAATTCAGACTTYTTAGTAATGGTCACTTGCCTTGGTGTGCAAGTCTTACAGCAGTGTAGGTCAAATCCTTAAACAGAGACAAATTGTTGTTAGGATGTTCAAAAACAGTTTTCTTTCTTTCAATTGCATCTACCTATGTTTTAAAACTATAACTCAGGTTAAGAACAATTCTAAATGCCTGTRTATGTCTCTGCAGGTACTATCGTGAGGTCCTTCCTGGTGAGATTGTGAAAATATCCCGATATGAGGTCCAAACGCTGGATGTTGTACCAAGACCTGAAGGAGATCCATCAGCATTCTGCATCTTTGAATATGTTTATTTTGCAAGACCAGACAGTATCTTTGAAGGTAAAAAGCTCTGAGGTACAAAGCTCCTCCCTAAGTTCTGGCAGATCATATCCTGGAGAACCTCTGGAAAGTTATTAGCAGTAATAGTAGGGCAGCACTGAACATGCGCTGCCAGAGCAGGGCTTCCTCAGAAAGGATTAGTGCAGTTTTTGGGGACATAAAACTCAGGACACACATTTAACATCAGCTTCAAGAACCATTCCAGACTGTGTATAAGGCCCTAGTGAAGCCTGTCTGCCTAGACTTATGGAAAGAATGAAAAGCCACAAAGACCATTCATCTCTTAAAACTGAGAGACTTCAGAAACTTTTATTGCTCTTTGAAACGTTTTTAAAAATTGGACSTATGAAACAGAATTTGCAAACAGCTTTATCTTGGTTTCCTTTGCGAATGTATTTATTGCTTCTGGAGCTTTTGTCACTGACTTCCAGACCTATAATTTGCCACAGAGATTTATGCAGTAAATTGAAAGGAAATCTAAATTTTTCTCAGCAGGGAAAAATATTTCTTGCTTTTCTTAGGTCAGATGGTATATTCAGTCAGGAAAAGATGTGGCCAACAACTTGCTATCGAGGCACCTGTGGAAGCAGACCTGGTCAGCACTGTTCCGGAGTCTGCAACCCCAGCAGCTCTTGGTTATGCACAAAAGGTATGCCTTGTTGACTTGCATAATTAAACATACTTAAGCTTATCTCTTTATACAAGGATATTTATCRCATGGTCCACTAGAGTGTTGTCTTGTCAAAGTTTTGTATTCCCATTGAGTTATTTTCAATAGGATTATTGTCTTTATTCTACTATATTAGAGCACTTCAAAACTTCTCAAGGCTTCTTTTGGCTAATGTGAAGTCATACTAAGTCCTAAGGTTGCTTTAAAAAAACAGCAACTGAGAATAAGCAGTTTTATAGTTACTAATTCTATTTMATTGTTTCCTGTTACAGTGTGGACTACCGTATGTTGAAGTACTCTGTAAAAATCGATATGTAGGAAGAACTTTTATCCAGCCAAACATGAGGTTAAGGCAGCTCGGTGTTGCAAAAAAGTTTGGAGTTCTGTCTGACAACTTTAAAGGCAAGCGAGTCGTTATCATTGATGATTCAATCGTGAGAGGCAATACCATTTCACCCATAATAAAGCTACTAAGGGAATCTGGAGCTAAAGAGGTGAGTTCACTTTCAGTGATTTTAATATGTACAAATACAAGATTGTTGGGAGCGTAAAGCACAAGTTTTAACTTTCATTTGCACAACACGGTGTTTTCTATTTAAAAGATTGAGTGTACAAATACAATGGTTAGTTATGTGTTTATTATTAYGACAGGTTGAAGTTTCTCTTTTATAACTTTGAATTAGGGGAGATGCAGGAGAGGAATAGATCTTTACTTATAAAGCACTATCTGACAAAGAGAATGGAAAACTGATTAAGAAAGATGAGAAAGCCAGCCCACAGTGTTGTATTCCTGCCATRTGTGTGGTTTGTGGCACTGGGCGGTCTTCAGCTGCTGACTGTCATTTGCCGTAGGCAAATGCTGGAATCTTCCCAAACCCCACGGTTCTCTTGTAACAGATTCGTATTTGAAACAGAACGTGCAAACCTGTGTCACTGGCGCAGAAAAGCTCTGACTGGCTTTGTAAACTGGAAGCATGTGCAGAATGGATTGAAGATCACAGAAGAAAAGCAAAATCAGAATTGGACATTTTAATACTTTTTTGACATCTGAAAATAACTTTAATCTTACCTTTTTTTTTTTTTACCTTTATTATCTTTTCTTTTACCTTTTCACGTCTTCTAGTGCTTTTTCTTTTATGATTTTTTGTTGAACTAGGTTGTTTCCATCTGCTGTTGGGTTATGATCCTCTGACTTCTGCCTCACAGCAGTCTGTTTTTAAACTCTATTTTTATTCAGGTGCATATTCGTGTGGCTTCACCTCCCATAAAATTTCCTTGTTATATGGGAATAAACATTCCAACAAAAGAAGAACTCATTGCCAACAGACCTGAATTTCATGACCTTGCAAACTATATTGGTAAGTACCATCTTTTCCTGAGAGTTTTCACTTATCAAAATATCATAAAGTTGATATATTAAATCAGCATATTGTGTGCTCCTTATGTATCACAAATAAAGATGATGAAATCCTGGCTTCAGAGTTAACAGCAGCTGAATAGTAGTTTACGACATGCATAATAGTATACTCTCTCAGTTTGTAAACACCGATTCTTTTACAAATTCAGAATTTATGTAAATAATTTTAATGGCATTGCATGATATTTACTTTTAAAGAAATTAAATTTGAACTAGCAAAAGAATCTCAATTACGTTTTTGAATCATTAGAATGAGTCATGTTTAGAGTAGAATARAAGTTGACAGTTTATGCTGCTAATGATGTGATAAATAATATGCTCTTTAGCAGGCTATTAGAAGGTATGAGACAGCTTGTTAAGTAATGCCATACTGTTCYGAAAAAAAAGAAAACGATTTAATGACGTGAGAATATAGCTGTGGTTGAGAACTTTCAATTCAGATTTCTTTGTAAATACTTCCTCCTCCTTTTTTAATCTGCAATGTGTTTATATTTTCTCCTAAGTCATTTTCCCCATAATGATGATCATGGTGGCATGTTGAAATATTTCTGCTTGGCAGGATTTGTCTTTTAAGAATTATCCACCAAATAAATAGTTTAAGTAAAAGTACTAAATTACAAAGGCTCTAAAACTCCCCTAGATACTGCATACTTCATTTTTTAATGTTTTGACCCCTCCTTCAAGGCGCAGTAACCAGTAGTCCTCGTGTTCTGTTTGAGAAGCAATTTGCAAGCTTACATCTGTTTCTAGACTTGAAATAAAATAAAACTGAAAACTACGTGCGTTTCAGAAAGTCTTGATACATGCTCTGGATTTTATTTCCATTTTTACAGCTTATAAAAATGTCATCATGGTTCCCAACTCAGAAGCTTCTCCTTAGACTTGAGCAAGGCTGCTCCCTGCACAAGAAGGGCAGTGCTCATGATCCACTCCGCATCATACTCCCGATGCAATACAGTGACTGCATTGCTTTTGGTACAGTACTGCAGGCTTTAATTTCTGAATTCTCTATTCCCTTTAGGAGCAGACAGCGTTGTTTACCTWTCTGTGGAAGGGCTGGTATCCTCTGTGCAAGAAAGCATCAAAGCAAGGCAAGAGAGTGAGAACAACCTCAAAATGCAGAAGTCGCGTGCTGGAAAGATCGGTCATTGCACAGCGTGTCTTACCGGAGAGTATCCTGTAGAGCTAGAATGGTGAAATTTCAGTAGATGATCATGAGTTCATCTCCTGCTGAACAGAGATTTCTCAAAGATGTCTTTTTGCTATTAGTTTTCCTCCATGTTAGATAATACTTAAAGCTTATTTCATCTAACTAATTACTGTTACTAAAACACTTTGTACAGACTTACAAGAAATGCGTGGTGATAAAAAACAGGTAAGCAGATAAAAATACAGAATTGTAGTTTCCAAGGCACAGTTGGGCCTTCTTTTCCTCAAAAAATAATTTAAAAGCCAAAGTGTTCTTAATTATGTAGGTGTCCCAGAGTTTTTTTTTTTTGTCTCGGTCTTGCTCTGGAAGTACAATACGCCTGTTAGACTTGTTCACAACTACAAATCATGGATCATGTAGCATAATTTCAAATTATCAAAATGTTAATGAAGAAGTATGTAAAGTATGCTTTACTCTTTAGGAAAAAAAGAACAAAATGCTGAATTGCTTCCTTGGCAGTTCCTGCATATCTTCCATCCTAGAAGTAACTAACTTTCGCATATAGCTGAGTAGTCCTTATTAACAAGACTTTTGTAATTAATAAGTGTCCAAGTTTTACGAACATGATGTGTAGCACATGATTTTAAAAATTAAAAGCTCAGGGAAACATTCAGCCAAAAGTTCTCTAGTTTTATGTTTTCAAAAAAAGAATTTTTAAGTCCACTGTGAATTGCATTATCTTTGGGTGCTTTTACTAATTGCCAATAGAATGTGAAAGGAGAAAAATGCCGGGCATTGTCAGTGATTGTTATATTCTCTGTCACATTGTGTTTTSTTCCAGATAAATCCCTCAAAGTTTGGAAAGTCTGAGCTAATGCTCAGTATGTTTCGTTTATTTTTTTTCTTTTTTTAACGTACGTCAACCTTCAATGTAAAGTCAAAACTAAAATTACCTTTCTTGCTTAACAATAAGTATGAACCTATGCCAACTAAAGGATATGAGTTGTGTTTTGAGTGTGCTGTTATTTTGTTACAGTATTGCTGTCACATAATAAATAYAATGTTTAAAAAAAAAAAGTTTAGAGGAAACATCAGCTGTTGTTTTGCCAGTTGATGGGGGAGCACCGGAAAGAACCAGACAGCAAGGGCAAGAATGGTAGTATTTATGATTAATACTAAATAATACAGAAATKAAATGATACATCTAACAAAACAATAAGCTTATTACCTGGTTGGTTTTAACAACAAAGTAAGCAAGGTAACGCACCTAACCGTTAGTAGACTATTAGTAGAATAGCAGTTAAGRGAAAGATACATCACCAATTGCCCAAATCCCTTAGCATCATCCAGATGGGCCATCACTGGGGAGCCCCTGTTGCAAGGAGGATTGGGAGAACCTCCCCAGCAACTGAGAGGTCTTCCACGGTGTCACGCTCCTGTGGTTAACTAAACACAGTTGTGAGGAGCCCTTCCTTCCCAAGATAAAAATGTRTGTGCATGTTTTACCCAAGGACGCAAGCAGAATTATCTCAAACTGTCTACAGTTTGAAACTTGGGCAAATACTCCTTGGCTAAAGAAGTTATCAACCAAACTGTTAAAGTGCAGTAATAATGTTTAAATATGATTCAGCATTAGCTGCCTCAATTATGATTTCAGTATAACACTTCTGCCTTTTTTTACTCCATAATATACACGTGAAGCTACAAAACAAGCCTTTTACTGTAAGCACGGTAATTTTTAAGCACACTACATGCCTAATTTTTATTATACTTTTTTTTTTTTTTTTAAAAAAAAGCTAAAATAGAAATTTTTCAAAGGTAACTTTATTCACTGACAGCTGAATTTACGCTTCCGAGTTATTGGGCCCTTTTGTAATTTTTCTTGCACAGTATAATAAACCACTAGCTGAAACAGAGAAGTTTGAGAACTTGCAATTTTTTTTTAAATGCATGCAATGAGTTAAGGGAGAAAAACCCTCTACCTTTAGGTGTCCTTATTTGTGTTATTTTAATGAGACTGTCTTTCTGTGAAGCAACTTCTGCTGTGTGACTACTATGCAACTGTGCTAAATTATTTTTAAAAGATGTAACGAATGGAAAGCTAACGCCTCACCTGTGCCCCATGTAACGTTAGAAACGGGCGCGGTTCTGTGATTTCTGCGCAATTGCGTCTTTTCACCGCGCTGCAGCGCGGGCAGCGGCTCCTTGAATAAAATAAATCCTCACAGAGCCCTCGCGTGCGGAACGAGTCGTTTGTGTCTCGCGTCACCGGGAGCCGCGGGGGCCGTTAACGCGGCCGCTAACGGCGCAGCCCGCCCTGGCCCCGCCCCAACGGTCGCGGGAGGCGGGGCACAGCACCCACCCTAACGGCCGCGCCGCGCGCAACCCGCGGAAGTGACGTAATCTGCCGCTGGGCCCTACCATCTTCCCGGAAGGCGGACGGACTGACTGCGCCCTTCACCTGCGGTCGGAGGTTGGTTCCTGCCGCGTGTGTAGTGCCGGAGGAGCCAYCCTGCTCCGGGATGGGTGTCCTAGGACTCTTCTCGCGGCTCTTGTTCCCTGCAGAAGATAATGGGATAATGGCTCAGCCCGGCCCTGGCCGTTGGAGGCGTGGGCCCCACSCGCCCGGGCCCGGAGAGAGCGCGGCGGCTATTGGCCAGCGGGAAGGCCGCGCTGCCAATCAGGGTTGKCCTCCAGCCAATCAGGGGCGCGGTTGTAGAGTCGCGTGGAGGCGCCGGAAATCGGCGCCGGGCGCCCTGTGTGGCGACCGTTGGGCTGTTAACGGCTGCTGGTGGCGGCTTCCCGGCCTGCAGGGGCACCGGCCGCCGGGAGGGCAGCGGCCAGGAGTGAGCGCGAGGCCGTCTGTCCTCGCTGGGGAGCGCGGCGGGAGCGAACGGGGCCGTATTAGGTGGGGGTGCCTCGGCAGTACCGGGTGTTGTGGTGAAGCCGTGATAAATGCCCTTCTTGTGCCTCCCGCCTGTCGTTTGATCAAAGTATTAAAAACCAGGAGGTGATAACGCAGTGTGTGATCTGCTGTCTTTCAGCAGGAGCGAAGGTAGGTAGCTGGGATGACTCTTCAGGCAATGGTGAGCGAGGCAGCCGGCCTGCACCCCAGCAGGGAAGCGGTGAGGTTTGATGCGTGCGATGGCCAACCGGCCGCTTGCTACACGTATGCCACTGTGGTTAAGCTCGCCAYGGAGTTGACAGCTTTCCTGCGAGAGCACTGTGATCATCGAGGAAAATGTGAAATTGGACTTTACTGCCAGCCAGGAATTAACTTACCATCTTGGATTCTAGGGTAATGCTGTAAATGCTTGCATTTTTTTCCTTTTCCTTTTTTTTTTTTTTTTTGTATGTTTGCCTGTAGACTCTATTAAAGCAAAATTTCATTTTTAACTTGTATTTTTAATCATAAAAAAAATTCAGTAAAGCAAACCATAGCTACAGTGATTTTGTTTATGTAGCAGAAACACTTGATCTTTCTTCACCTTTACCAGATTTTTTTAAAGTATTCTGTTGCCTAAATGCAGAGGCATAGAAGTCTTTCTTTAAGAAAAAAATCCACATTATTATAGCTTATAACGTTTTGAGAAGCTAGCACTGAAGTTTTCTGACTCTTGAGTTCACTGATCAAAAATATATGAAACTATCGTTCAGACTTATTTCATATGCACTCTGAAATATTATTGATAATTACTGTTTGTTATGCGTGTTTTAAAATGTAGTTGATTTAACAGAATAAATATGTATATATGCAGATGAATATGCAGGATTTTTTTATGTATCTTCTTCATTGCAATCTCAATGCTTTTGTTAACTCCACAGTTTTTAAGTCTTACTTTTGTGGATTGATTATACTGTGACTACCTTAGATAGATCTTAGGATATAATGTAGAACTCCTGCATTATATCGTATTTTCATGAGTTGATATGTACAGCAGTGGGATGATCCATGTTAGCATTTTCCTATTGTCACACTGGAAATACATTTTCTTGTAAGAAAATGTAAGAATGAAAGGAGAAGAAGAGAACAATGTAAAAGAATTGTGTGAAGATTTCACTGAACTTGGTAGAGTGCTCCTGATACACCCGCTGTTTGTCATCTTCCTTGGTTTGGACAGAAGGGTGCTTAGGCATTTCAGAACTTTTTTTTTCTGAATGTGCCCAGGAACATTCACCTCTTTGCAGCGTGGGTGACACTGTCAAAGCATTGAGTTCAGGGTTTTGGTGAAGRCTTTACCTACTGAACAGCCTAATGCAGAAAAATGCTGGTAAAGGGCTTACATTATTATCCAGGGGATGGGTCACTTGTAGTATTTTTCTTCTAAGGGAATCCAAAACTTTGTTACTGCTCTTTAGTGAATTTCTTGTTATGGAGGTCTACCTTCCTTCCTTATAGGTCAGATTTCTGCTTATGTGGAGTAGTACAGAGGCAAATGTGTAATGTGTCTCTAGGCTCAGTGAATCAAAACTTTTCACTTGCCGAAAGGAAATCTGTCTTCCTGCCTGTGGTCATGTCAATATTTCATTGCAGTAAAATGATAAAAATTTTCTACAAGTGAWGTATGCAAGAGACTCTGATCTCTGCTCTTACCTCCCCTGATTGCATTGTGCAACTGAATGTCTAGGTGTGTGGTTGTAGAGACCATCCCTTCGTGGCTTGGGGGCTGTGTTAGAGTGAGTGATGTTACCATTAACCTCTTGGAAGAGCTGAGGAATTTCTTGCTGGTGAGTGTGAGGAGAGCCCAGCAGCTGAGCAAGGCCGCTCAGAGGCTGTGCAGCCTCCCTTCTTGGAGGTTTTCAAGGCCTGAGCAGCCACTCTGACCTCGCAACTGGCCCTGCTTGAGCACCGTGTTGCATGAGAGACCTCTTAGGGTCCCTTCCAGCCAGAGTTACCCTTTCTTCCTCTAAGCTGTGCAGCAGCAGCAGTGTTTCCTTTTGCTACCAAAGTGGGTGCTTTGTTACCTTTATATGTTCTATATGGTGGAGGTCAAAGGACTGGCTTAGCCCTTTGACTCGGGGTTATTGGTTCTGGTGCCTATCCAGATTTACAATGCAGAATGCTACAGGTGCAAAGTCTTTGCTTTGGATACCTTCGTTGCAGCAGCAAAAAATCACTGCCACACACTGAGGAAATATCAGTAATTGTTCATGGGGACCCAGGAGAAGAAAGTTTAAGAAAGAAAGAAATTTTAAGGCTTATGCAAACTCTTCCCGTTTTGGTTGCATGTTATTTATCTTTTGTTTTTAAGGTGTTAGTGAATTTGAGTAGTTGTTTTTATCAAGTTGAGCCACTAGATGGAGTACCTAATCAGCGATTCTTGTAAACCAGTATGGTGAAGAAGCACTGCCATAGGAAGCACAATGAGTGAGTTTAAAATGATGCTTAACATTCATCTCTTTGTTTGGGAAGAAATTATAACGTTTGCCCAGATCTTCTTATGCTGGGATCTGTAAACTAGTCAGAACAGAATGATAGTTTATTCAATGGGTAGAGCCAGGGATTTTTAAGCATGCTTATACATATTACATCTGTGAGTGAGTAGCTTTTACTTCTGTTCTTAGTCAACAGCAGGAGCTTTGACTTGAAATCATTTTGTCATTGATGCCAATGGTTCTTTTGTCATCAGCAACCTCCTTGACAGGAAGAATTTTGAATATTTTCATGTAGTTTTGGCCTTTATCCTTGTTGTAAAAGACCAGAGGGAAGAGTGTTTATATTTTGCCTCCTGCTTTATTTATAACGGAATATTTAGAAGTTGTATTCTGACTACATTTTCTGACTCTGGAAACTAACTGCAATGTAAGATAAACCTTAGTGAAACTTAAGAGGATTTTCTTTAGAGGATTTTTCTTAGTTTGTAAATACTATTGTCTTGGTAGAATCCTTCAAGTCCCAGCTGCCTATTGTCCTGTGGATCCAGATGGACCACCAGTCCTAACAGCCAACTTCATGAAGAAATGCAATCTTCAATATATTCTTGTTGAGAATGACAAACTAAACGTAAGTGTTCAGGCTTCTACAGGAAGCAGTGATGTGCTGTGTAGGAATGGGTACCTATTCAAACAAGAGGTGGTCTTCATTCAGTTATAAACATTTTTATATCTAGAAGTACTATGTACTTCTTCCCCGTTAAAGGAAAAAAAAACCCACCAAATTCTATTGCAGCGAACTTCTTGAGCAACGATGTTCAAAGACTTCTCCAGTTTTGTTTCCGTGTACATCAAGATTGAAAGTCTTTGCAGCACTGAAATAATTGCTTCATTGAAAATAATTGCTTCATTTAATCTTTGGTTTTCCTTTGTGCAACTCCTTCAAAATCTTTGTATCCACACATATTGCAAAAGGAATAGACAAAACTGGACCATCTAGTTGCAATTTAGAGTGATTTTTTTCTTTATCTGCTCTGCAATTGTYTTTATTATTTGCCAAGATAATTGTTTATTTTTCATTTGTAAAGTATGTTTTCATATTTAACATATAGAAAAGCATGGGCTTTTTTTTTGTT